TTAATAAATTCGCAATGATATCCATACATTTGGATACAATTCTTGTAAGTTGAAATCGTTGATGAAATTTAATACAAAAATGGGAGTAACCACATTTTTATCAGGTAAAAAGGATGCCCGACTTATAAGTTCATCACACAACATACAACCATCTATGTCTGATTTAGAGTCTACAGTTAATTTTAATGGAGATCACTACAGAGCTTGAGAAGGTCGCATTTTCTGGAATCTGTTTAATATTGTACAAAAAAGACCAAGATTCCGAGTACTCATTTAACTGTTCGAACCTTTTATTGATTGAAATTTATATAGTGTCCAAAAGACAGTTGAAAATTTTTTTTCTGGAGAAGTTATAGGGTCATCGCGTGCAATTTCACCAGCTTGACGCTTAATACGACAAATTCTTGTTGTAGCTCGAAATTCAGGTTCAATTTCTAGTTCTTCGGCCAACTCCTTCGCAGTTAAAATAGCGCTTTTAAAGCCCGTATTTCTGTAGTCTTCCAAAAAATTGCAGCATTTTTTCAACATTTGTGTACATTTACCAAGATCCATATCTGTTGACTGTACAGATTTACTTACAAGATTTATTTGACGAAGTATGTCATACCAAACAACCAATGAAACTGTAAAGCAGAAATCTTTCAGTTGTTCGGCTAGTGTAGTAGCTTCATGAGGCACTTGAACATCAGTTTTCTGAGTTTCATGAGCCAAAGTAATCAAAGCATCATGGATAGTACTAATTTGATAACGAACTGATTTGACGCTACTTATTCTTGCTTCCCAACGAGTGTCAATGTGCTTTTTTATAGTATATAGTCCCAAGTGATCGGTTAGAAATTTCCATCGATGAACAGAAGCTGATTGGTCTGAAATATCACCCTTCATAGCTAATCGCAAGTGCTCCTGCATGACTAGATCAAATTTGGCTAGTAGTTGTACTAAGCCTAAGAACTTTCCGTAATTTGGCGTATATAGTTTGTCAGAAGTGCCTCTGAACGCCATATTGTTTTCGGCTAAATAAAGTGTGATATGCATCAATCTAGATAAAACATTATTCCATCTTGTAGTTTCCTTTCTAATCAAGTGTTGCTTTTGGCAGTCTTTTGTTTTCCCTATTTTTAATCGTAGTTCAGCTTCAATCCATGAAAGGTAAAACTTCTTATGAAAAGTGCTATTTTCATGATTTTTTAATATTTCAGACAAGTATTTCCAGTTGTTATACCCTTCAGATACTAAGTTCGACGTTGAGCTACTATCAAGTAGTCTACAACAAAAGCAATGAACTCGATCCTTAGAAACGGAGTACATTAACCAAAAGCGCTGAATTGTTTCATTGTTTGCAAGAATTTTTGTGAAATGAGAATTAGAGAAATGTCGGCCTGTATCATTTTTCGGATAATTATCAATGTGAGTTTGCACTGGGCCACTAGTAATTATGTGATCAATGATTTTGCTATTTCGAGTGACTGGCCAAGTGGCCAAGTTCGCTGGCCAATGCGAATGAGCTGAGTTTGTTACGCTTCGCTACAATAACGCTAGCTTTTTTAACCAAAACGTTAAAAGGAGATAGACAATGTGTTTTGACAATAGACAAAAAAACCGCTTAATTTAGGGAATTTACGATTAAGCAGACCTCGAACTATGAGCACAAGCCGAGGGGCACCTGTGGCCAACTTTAAATGGGCACGTGGTTTGCTTGCTGCAAGCCATGAAACATGATAAGAATATGGTTGTTGATTTTGACGTCAATAATTCAAGTTCTTTCGATTACGTGTTGCCAATAAAATCACTGGGAGAGCTTAAGTAACTAGAAAAGCGACTCAAGAGTGATTCTCAGTTATGTGCAGAATTTGTAAGTTGTTCTACTATAAATTTTTATATATACGCAAGCACTCTCTAATTTTGCATAACTAATAATTAATGATTATTTTAGAAAACCTTCATTATAAAACTTGGAGGCAAACCAAGGCAACTGATTAAAAGTTTTTGCAGAAGAGTTTTAACCAATAAAGTTGCCATTCTCTGCTCGTGGTTTGGGTACAAAAATAATGTGGCACTTCACCCAACTGAAATTTTAAGATTATTTAGAAGTAATTATCATTAAATCATACATTACACCATATTATATAAATATAACATTAATATTGATACATTTCAAATAGGTGTTCTATTGCAAATCCACCCAAAAGTGACGGAAGAGGGGCTAAAAGAAATTGTTTCAACTTGGCTGAGGTATGCCCGACAGCGGCATGAAAGATCTTTGAAGCGCAAGTCAATAGACATCAATGATGTGTTATTAGATTAATTTATTTATAATAAAATTACTAAAATTTATTTTACTAAATCTATTTTTTTTTTAATTTGTTCCTATACCCCCATATTATGTTATATATAAAACATATGTTTAAATATTATGATCAAATAAAAATAATTTCATAATAAATCGTCTATCATTAATAAACTAAAAAATTATTAAAGTCGAAATTTATGGATGTATGGATACAGAAAGTAATATTTAATTCATGTACACAATTACGTTGTTTTCATGTTTTATCAATATCAGTTCGACATGCAATTAAACGTGTTACCGAGGTCGCGACAAAAATCGCAAATGTGACATTACTTTGCGCTCAATAAACGTTCTATACAACAAAAATGACTTCGGCGCAGCGATGTCCCAGATCGCAATGCGATGTTGTTTTGATGTTGTTTTTTTGTGATTGTGTTTACTGGGTTAATATTGTCTAGAAATATAACTACAACTGTAAGCATAGATACCGGAATAAATATAGATGCAAATATAAATATAACTATAAATATATGCATAAATATAGATGTAAATACGATTATATATAAATAAATATAGGAGTCAATTGTCAATATCAATATACGCAGAAATATAAATTTAAATATAGACACACACATAAATGTGACTGCAATTACGAGGAGTGCGAAAAAAATAAACAGAATAAAGTAAAAATAATAATAATAAATTAAAACATTTTATGTATTTAGTTTGAGTGTGTATAGCGATTCCACGGTTCGTGATTCGTCATACGTCCTTGATGACTTGTATGCAGCGTACGCGCATGTCGCTGTGTCGAGAGCGCGCCACGCCTGTTGCTATACTCCCAGTGGAGTAGATATCAAAGTGTGAGGACTAATTTATGAAAGTTGTAAAAATTGTGTAAAAAGGCGAAATGAAGTTTAGAGTTACCAGTTGATTAGTTACGATATAATGGTGATCGTTTAATGAGGATATTAACAGTGTTATTAGAGAAAGAGGTATGTGCAACGCTTTATGTGTATGTATGAGGTGCGGGAATATGCTGAAATTGTAATTATAGATGTGATATAGTAAGTTTAAGATTAGATGTTAATATGACCGTAGTAATGTCCGTTACTGAGAATGGTGATGTTGAAGCAATTGATTTGAGTTGTTACGTGTCTCACCGTTTAATGTTCCGCGGAGGCGGGTTTCAGCTATGAGCTATGATTGTGCATATATCGTTGACGGTTGTGGTGGCGCTTTGCATCAGTTTCAACAGGTATTTCTTCATGTGTAGTCTGGTTGTATTTAAATTCAGTGCTTTAGTGGATGGTTATTTATTAAAGTATTCATTTTGGTTAGTATTTTATTGAATTTGCCTTTTTCCTTATTAATTTAAGAAGCGAATTATCAAGAAACGTTGACGGCAATCTATTCTGTATTTGCTTTGATTTTATATGCTAAATATTATAATATGCTAATTATTGTAACGCGCTATTTTATTTATTTCAGTTTAAACTTGATGTCCGTCTTATTTATGCTTATTAAGCGTGCGTACTTTGTTGTTTACCGATGACTATGCACACGCTAGTTAAATTTATAAACAATTTCTTTTGTGGGCATTTTTTTTCTTTCTGTTTGATGATGATTAAAATTATATTTATATTTCTATATATCAAATGTTATACTATTTCACAATTTCAGATGCTGGTGGAAAAATACTATTCAATATGATGAAGGGTTATGTGAATGCTTTACTGAACAAATTTTACTTATAGCAGTATGATGTAATTTAAGTAATAGATCATTTAACGTAAGTACCTGCACGTTTTTTCTATCAATCAAGTTAATTTTTTATCACTACAATTGAATATGCTGCATTCTGTAGATCATTTTCCTACAGTAGGAAAAATTTCAGTATCATCGTCATCAGTATTAACTAAAACGATAAATCTTATTAAACTGATATGTATTATATAAAAATTTTGCAACTGAATGGTGTTCTATCCATTTGGTCTATAATCTATATTTATTGATGGTGGCTCGTTCAGGTTCACAAAAATAATTTTATTCAGCAATAGTTGCTAGCAAACGTTGCCTTTACAATTCTGATTTTAGCAATTTTACTATTGCTAATGAATATGGTTTATTTGCTTGATGATAATTTTAAAACAGTTGTATAATTTATAAACTTATGTAGATTCGTTATGTATATGCATACAGAAATTTATTATCATCGAGGAATGTTGGTTTCAAAAGCCACAAATGCCATCAACATTTGATGTGCATTCTAAACTAATGGGTAATTTAATGTTGGAGGAAAAAGATCTTAGGGATAAATCTATTTTGCAAATTAATATCAAGTTGACCTTGTGGAACAGTTTTTTTTTTAAAGAGGATTTTTTTTTATTTTATATAAGTTTTATATAAGGGAGAAAACATTGCCAATAATGATGTTGTCTTTAGAGATTTTCATTAACGAGGGGGAGACATTCATATTATTATTGAAAAACTTGATTCTATTATTAGTGACACAGTTTATGATTTTGGATATAAGTTTTTGAGAGTAGGTACAATTTCTGAAGAAATTTGTTTTTTGAGACTTAACTGCTAATGAATTTGAAGGAACAGTTTATACGGTGGGTTGGATCTGAGATAATATAAGAAATATGTGGATTTATTTCAAATTACTGTGATGTTTTCTGTGTTGGCACTAGTGATTAGAACGTTGGGGTTTTCTTTTAAGAAAATTTGACATCAATTTTTTTTTAATTGAATCATTTGATGGATTTTTTGCAGAATGTTGAATGGGTGTGTGTTTTCATTTTAGTGACTATGTTGTCGAGACCTGATACTAACCTACTAAGCACTTTAATAAAATTAAAGCTGTGAGAATTATTTGGGATTGCATATTTTAGGCAAAGATGTAAAGAAGTGTGGCAAGAATAGCAGTAGTAGATAATTTTTTTTTACCATTCATTAATTAGTGATTTACTTAATGTGTTGGATGAATTAATTCTAGATTGTAAAAGTTTGCTAAATTAATTAGTGTAAGAGTTTTGTAAAACATTTGTATCTTCCTGTATATTGTCAACTCGTGCTTCTATCGATAATATCTTATTCGGCACACATGTTAAATCATTGAGATCTACATATTTCCATCAGAAATGTGTCTGATTATGTTGATCATGCATAAACTATCAATCCGCATGTACATTAAGCTGTCGTCAAATCGCATTTGCAATTTGCATGTTTCAATATATTTTATTTCAAGGTGCTTTTAAACTGTAGAAGTGTTTGGTCTCCGTGATACTTTTGGACTTTGAATTGGTATTTGTTAAGTAATCTATCCAATTTAACACCTACATATCTTTTTGAAATTAATTCCATACACAGTTCCAAGCAATCTATTTGTTAGGTGATTAGTGAATGCTTTATAAGAAAACTTTTTTGATATGTTTTAGTACATTCACTCAAATAGATATAATATCTCAAGATTGCTTGGGTATGTCATTTTATTTGGGTATATGTCATTTGGTTTCCAATAGCTTTTGACATTTTTGCTTCTTAATCTTATGGATTCATTTTAATATTGTAAACTGAAGAAAATAAAAAAAAAACAGAAAAAAATCATATTTTAAACTCGATAAATAAATAATTTTGAAAGAAACTTTCATTGAAAAATATATAACCAATTTTAATGGCAATAAAATAGTTTCACTACATTTCACAA